TCAGCGAGTGCAATCAATCACAAGCTCTAAAACAGAGAAAAGCTTCTGCCCCCAGCCCTGGCTGTTCAATAACACGCAGCAGCTTTGTTACGCAGATAGCTAGCAGCAGTCGTGTACTAGGAAAGCTCTACTGTATGAAGGTTAAGTGCAATTTCTCTCTGAGGCTGTACTATTCTCTTGATTCTGCAGACAGCCCAACCTGTACATTGACTGCTGCTTTATAACCTTGGTTTCCTCAATTTTAACCTGAAAACCCTGTGAAAACTAGTCACAGCAGCGGCCTTTCAGAATCAACAAGTCTGATTTGCAACTTCATATTTTACCTCAACCTTCAATACTTTGAACAATACAACACTGGGCTCTTGAAGTAGCTAGGACCAAATAACAAACATCTCCCGAGGAATTCACTGCTCCCACCAGCCTTTGCTGCAAGACCTCAAAGATATCCTTTGACCTGCTGAAAAATGAAACTGGCACTTCTGCTAGAAGGAGCAGGCAAGAGCTCATCTCCACCGCTGCAAACATAAGCCAATTAAACACAGACCCAAAACAGGAGGGGAGAAGGGGATGAAGGCTGAGTTCCATCATAGAGAAATGAAAAGGTTGTTGTCTTAAGCAAGACATAATTATTAGATGTTTTAGTTAACTCAGCAGTAGAACTGAATAGAGAAAGGGACTGACGTTTTAGGGGGGAAAAAAGGTGTTTTAGAAGTTATTTTAATTATGAGTTGGGGAAAAAAACAACCCACCCTTCCTTTATCCATGAGAAGAAAAGAACCCTAATCCCACAACTGCAAACCACAAAAGCTCATCTCCCAGCCTGCTACCAGCAAACAAGCTGACAGAGAACAAGACGGATTTCTAGCTGGATTCTGTCAAATCGTTAGAAGCTAGCCAGCTCAGAATGCTTTCATTACGCCAAACCAGCTAGTCACACTGAACTTTTTTTCTGACCAGCTTGTGCATGTCTAAGAACCTTCCCCTTCTAACTGCCACGTGTCCCAAGGAGACGGACAAATAAAAGTACAAAAGATGTCCGAGTGATTGGGCGGCAGTCTTCCCCTTGCCCCACATTTCCAAAACACAACCCGTTCAGCACTCTGAACTGATTTTAGAGACCTGAGCAGAATACAAAGAAAAAAAAAAAAAAGGTCTTCCCACACCACCAAACTGGTTAGAAACGCCGACTTCGGTAGCAATGTTTTCTGATTATTTTACAGCAAGACTGAATCTTTTCTGCTCCAGATGCAGATATAGCCACCTGCTGCATACATGCCAGGTAAGGTTTACAGCACAACCTTAACAACGATGGTATTAAGTACTTAAAAACTGATTCGAAGCCCATTTTCTCGGGGACAATGGTGAAAAAAAGCCTGAAGTAGGCCTTTGTGGAATACCTTCTCCATAAGAAAAGCTATTCTAAAGCCCTATTGTTTAGTCCTTAGCCAACATCCTAAAAGTGTGAGATTTTTTTCCGAAACTACTACACAAATACAAACCTTTAGTATTATAAACCTGAAAAACACCAACGTTTCTAGAGAAGTCTCTGGTCCCTTTTAGGGAGGCTGCTAAGCTCTTAGACTCAAGAGTAACTTCCAGCAACACAAGTTCAATGGAACAGTTAACTATTGTGTTAAAAAAGCCAAGTCTTTGTTAGCGGGATGTATGCTTTATTACATTTTCATCAATTGTTCTTTTTCTTGCAGGATAGGAAATAGACATTTCTATTCATCCTGTTAGCCTTCCTCTATTATTGATCAATGCCTTCTATTTTTCTCTTCAATGGAGGTAAACAGTCTTCTCTCTGGGGAAGCCTGTCTAGGTCTTCAATAATTACTCCTGTTCAAGCTCCTTATGTGGCAAGAACGATTTCAAACTTTCTGTAAGGAGGAATCGTCTTCACTATTTCCTCTAGATTTCCCACTCTTCCTCCTCCTCCCACTCTTGAAAGCTTCGTGGTGTTCCAGGCAGCTTTCATAGAGCTGTCCCTGAAACCACTCCAGTCCCTTTCCAGGATCACAATTCATCAGAACCCAGTCACGCACACGTTCTTCCAAAGCCCTCCTTCCACTACACACTGCAGTTGCCAAAACTGAATTAGCCTTCATGGAGCAATTGAAATTTCAAGCCACCGTGAGCATCCAAACAAGATCAATCATAACTCACCTGTGATACAGGAGCACACAGGCACAGTAGAAGCCTCCTCACACACCTACCACGCCAAGCACACACACACACGCTGTCTGTCAGTCCACCCAGCCTGAACCAGAGGAGGAACAGCAAACACAAGCCTGGTGCCCACCACCCTGCTGGGGTCTGCCCTGCTCCCAGCCCGCCTGGGGACAAACACACCCTTGCAGAAAATGACACCCACCCAATGCCACTGAGCAGCACGGCAGCACCGGAGGGGGGGGGGGGGGGGGGGGGGGGGGGGGGG